GTAATGCAGGTAGGACTAGCGGCTGGCCTCAACAGATCCGAGGTTCCCTTCTGCAAGAGACGATAGAAAGAGCAGCAGCAGCAGCAGCAGCAGCGGCAGCAGCAGCAGCAGCAGCAGCAGCAGTATGTAGTAGTCACGCATGATCGTCGCAGAAGCAGACAACTGATGGTGGCCCCATCAAACATGAGGCCTCCTGTCGCGGCGCCACCAAGGAGGGCGGTGCCAGCGGTTGAACCTGAGCAGGGTGGACGTTTAGTAACCAACTAAACCCAAACAAACCTGTCCGAAGCCCTAAAACCCTAAACCCAAAAGAGCCAGATTCGGGTACTAGAGAAGCTTGAATTGAGGCTTCGAGTTTCCAAAGTTCCGTGGCGCCAGAAATCACACTGCTGAATGCTTGACAGCTCGGAAAGAATACACTAATGACCTTTCGGATAGAAGCTGTGTTTTTGCTGTTAGCTGCTTTTGCAGCGCGGCAGCTCCGCGCAACATCATTCTAAGCCCTGTGTGGCCTTAACAGCACCTCTACGCCCTCATGGAACCTTTGGAGTAACCGTTATGGAACCCTCAAACCTTACAACGAAAAAGCACTTAACCCGAGCAAGCACCTGAACCCTCGCCCCGTTTGGCCAAACCCAGCCCAGCCCAGCATTTTTGCTCGGGAAATTCCTGAGTTTCACCAGCCCTTAGAGCCCATACTCCCACAACAGTCCCGTATTCCAAAATCAGCCCTACAAACCCTCAAGACTGAAACCCTAAACCCTAAAACCCTAAACCCCGAAACCCCTCAACCCCTAAACCCCTAAACCCCTGAGCCACAAAGAACTAGCCCTAAACCCTAAACCCTAAACCCTAAACCCTAACTGAGGTCAGAACATCCAGTCTATAGCTCCACAGATTCGGAGCCTTCGGAGCTCTGCCCATCTTCTTGTTTTTAAGGGGTTTAGGGTTTTAGGGCTTTAGGGCTTTAGGCTTTAGGGTTTTGGGGTTTAAGGGCTTTTTGGGGTTTAGGGTTTTTGGGGTTTGGGGTTAGGGCTTTTGGGGTGTAGGGTTTTAGGGTTTAGGGTTTTAGGGTGTTTGGTGTTTAGGGTTTTAGAGTTTAGCGTTTGGGGTTTGGGGGCTTAAGTTAGGGTTCAAAAACAGTCTTACACGGAGGTTTCTATAGCCAGAATTCTGTAGGGACTTTACGGGGATGGTGTCAGCAATGACACTCATCCTAGAGGCTTGCAACTTTGATGTGGGTCCCCGGCCCTGTGCTGCTGACAGCCAGCCTCCCGGAACCTTTGCAATGCAACCCCTAAACCCTCAACCCTACATTTCAAGGCCCTCAACCCCTAAACCCTAAACCCCTGAACCCTAAACCCTAAACCAACCCTTACCGGTCATCCGTATCACCCTGAGACCCTGAAACCCCAAAAGCCTAGTAGACCCCACAGCCAACCCTTAAATCCTAAACCCTACACCCCTCAAGCCTCAACCCTAAGCCCTAAACCCTACAACCCTGAACCCTAAACCCTAAACAGAAGGTGCCTTTCTAGTAAAATCATAATAAGGAGCCCCCGGAACAGTAGTGGTAATTATTCAGGCCCCCCAAAACATGCCCCAGGTCTTGAAAGCAGCGCCGGGGCCGACGCATGTCCGCTGGCCGACCTCAGCCAGCTCAAACCAAGTCGCCCAGTCATCTCAAGGGACGAAAGGAGGGACCATTAAAGGGACCCTTGGGGTTATATAGGGACTCTATGAGACTAAGTAAGGGGTATATAAGGTATATCTAGGGGCTTCATGAAACTATATAAGGGGTATATAAGGCTTATATAAGCGCTTTATGAGACTGTATACCGGGTATATAAGGGTTATATAGGGTATTAGGATCAGGAGTCCCTTCTAGGGGTCCCTCCTATTGTTCCTTAAGCCATCTCGCAGTTGCAACCCTAGCTAGCAACGATACGACGATGACCCGATGAATACTTAGCTCCTCAGGCATACAAACTTATGAGATGAAGGTCAGTGCTTGACGAAAAATCAGAGGAAAGCAGCACCGACATCGAAGGGCGTGCAGCGCAAGTGAACAAAGACCCAAATTTGAGCCCACAACGCAGCGCTACATGACAGCATGAATCCGATCACCTTCAAGCACACATGCCTGCCCCACCCTAAGTCCGGCGATGCTATTCCATCAAGCTTTTTTTATAAGCCGCCTACAAACACACTACCCAAATCCGACTCTAAATACTATCATTGTTGTCAGAATGACTGAAAATAAATACGATTCTTCTCTGCGTTTCTTGTCATTGCCCCTAACGCCTAAGGCCCAAGCTGGATGCAGTTGTGTCCCTGCACAGTCGCTGCAAGCCACTTGCCGGCAGAACGGGACCAGTAGGAGACCTACAGGGAGCGATGAAGGCTCAGGGTTTAGGGTTTAGGGTTTAGGGTTTAGGGTTTAGGGTTTAGGGTTTAGGGTTTAGGGTTTAGGGTTGAGGGTTAGGGTTGAGGGTTTGGGGTTTAGGGTGTAGGATGTATTTAGGCTTCAGGGTATCTAAGGCTTAGAGGATACGGACAGGGACAGGGACCCAGAAAAAACACAAAACACAGGAATTGTCATGCGGAAGAACAAAACCCTGTGCGAATCAGGGAAGCCCGATTCTGCAGATGTACTACTTTAGAAGGATCAAAAATTAGTAGTACATACCAGCAGAAACACATCCCATCAATAAGCCGAAATTTAGGAGGACATGTCACAGAAACTACGTTGACTATTCTTCCATGCAGTTTTATATAAGCATGTGCTGGCTCTGCACCTTCGGCAAGTCGTGAAGGGGGCAGGGATGATGTAGAGACCGGATTCATTCGACTAGGGTTTAGGAGGGGTCTTATATTATACATGTTATGTTAACGAGTATTGTTTTATAATATAAGACCCACCCTAAACCCTAGTCGACGAATGATACTAGACATATCATTGAAACTAAAATTGGCAGATCCCAACGGAACAGGATTCAAGGATCCAGGCCCTTACATGCACAAAGGGCCTGGTCCCCAACTCGGAAGACAGAGTGAAGATCGCCTGTGGGGTGGAGCGGCGATGTGTCTTGAAGGGTTCGGTTTTGCTTGGGGTTTAGGGTTTAGAGTTCAGGGGTTTAGGCTTTAGGTTCAGGCTCAGTGGTTTTGGGTTTGGGGTGTAGGCACTTCGGTCTTTCATCCGATGGCCAGGTTGGGTGAGTCTCTCCTGCAGTATCAGCCAGCCACCCACTGGGACCCTCATATGGGGGTTTCCGAAAATAAGGGACCCCAATATAGTACCCCAAATAGTCGGATCCTTATTATAAGGACCCCAAAATAAGGTACCCCTAATTTTCGGAAACTCCCATATGTCGATAAGGGACTGTTGGAGGCCTTATGAGCAGAGGGAGACGAAAATCTCAGTACAACTGGACTTTTCGACTCCATATGAAATATACGGAATAATTGGCAGCATATTCTCACAACCATGCCCAAAGCCCTTGCAACCAAGCAACCTGTGAACAAAAGCGCACCTAAGCCATGGTAAATTTGTAGCATTCTTCGAGCTTGGCCGAAGTACGCTTAGACTCAAACCGTACTTTCATGATCCAGCCGTATCTTCACCCATCCAGACCCTTATCGACTATGGCTCCGGATTTTGGGACGACTTGGGGGGCTGGGGCCGTAAACTTGATGTCGCTTGTGGCCTTCTTGTGGGCGTGGAACGACGGTGGCGATGGGCATCGTGGACGTCATCGCTGAAAAACACCAGGAAGTGACTCTAGCGCATTTAGTATGGAGCTCTGGTATCTTGATACTCCAAAACCTAAAGTCTACTCAAACATTAAAGCTTCTAAAAGCCAAAACCCTAAACCCCCCAAGGAACACACAAAAAGCCTAAACTGTTTTGTGGACCCGGTTTAACCAGGGGTTCGCTGTGTCTCGAGTCACTTTGTGTCGGGCGCCTCACTCCCCACTCTTTGGTAGGAGAAGGCAATGCATAATATGGCTGCAAAAACACATTCACCATGCTTCTGCTAGGAAATTTTGCAAGAAGAGCGCATCTTTCAAAGCTCACAATGCCCCTGGATGGCTTTGAAGCACTAGCTCGGAACTCTGGAAACCTCGGGCCTGAACACTACACGACATGCGTCCGTATTCCCAGCTCCCCCTCCAGTGGTACTCCAAAGGGAGGGAGAGACCAAAAACCCCTACCTTGTGGTCGCCGGGATTCAGAGACATGGCTGTAATGCTTCCCGCCCATGTACCGACGCGACTCAAGCGATTTATGATGAATCGCGTTTTCCGGAGATCGCGGCCGCACCAGGCTATGCAAAATAATAGGACATGAGAGCACATGATGACAGAACATGTACCGCGCCACAGCGGGAGCGCAGAATATTCCGGGTGTGCATCAGCGGGCACCTCGCGCTTACACTAGCTTTCTGTTTTTACACTACCACGCAAGAACCCAAAGTGTCTACCATACTGTTTGGGGAATACATCTTTTGAAACCACCTTCACAGCTTGGGGTTGGGTATCGGAACTTTTCGATCCCCATCTTCCTCTCGCAAGGTCCTGGACCCCATGTTGTCACTGCCTTGCTGTCAGGCCTTACAGCAACGGTCTGTCTGTGGTGTAATCAGGCGTATTATAGGGCCTTCATCGCGTTAAAGGTTTAGGCTTTAGGAGTTTAGGGGTTAGGGCTTGGGGTTCCCCATGTGTGCGCATTAGCCACAGACATACCCTTGCGGGAACCTGCGAGGAAGCCAGCCATGCCCCGCGGCTTCTCTGAGACACCAAGCGAGCAGCTTACACGGAGTACGTCTGCACGTTCAATACCCCAAACCCTGCACCCTATTTCCTAGGCCCTGAACTCGAACCCGAAACCCTAGCAACCCGGAACTCTAAAACCTAAACCCTAAACCCAATTCCCTAAGACCTAAATCCTAAACCCGAAACCCTAAGACCTAAACCCTAAACCCCAAGCCCTAAACCCTCGAGGGGACTATAAGGGGATACTCTGACTCCTGCCGCTGCCGGGCGCTGGCCCTCAGCAGCCGCCGTCCGGCGTTTCCGGCTCCAAGCCCGTCACAGACCTGGAGGTTTAGGGTTTCTAGGGCTTCGGTTTAAGGTTTAGGGTTTAGGGCTTAGGGCTTTAGGGTTTTAGGGCTTAGGGTTTTGGGGTTTTAGGGCTAAGAACTTGGAGTTTAGGGCTTAGGGCCTGGGGCTTTTTGGGGTTTAGGGGTTTAGGGTTTCGAGTTGAGGGATGTTCTTTCCGAAGTGGGCAGTAGGCGCTTGGGGTTTCGGGCCCAGGGTTCCTACTCCCGCAGGCCATTGCCTGTTGCGACACGAGTCGCTGCAAGCGTCTCCGTGTCTTAGGGTTTGAGGTTTAGGGATTTGAAGGTGTTGGGTTTATGAAAGCTGTGGTCATTGTGGGTACCACTTCTAGTATGGCCCTCCGTGCGATTCAAGGTTGCAGGCACTCACTGCCACTAGTCAAGCGAGGCTTCACGCACGATGCATCGCCTGGCTTTCCCTGAGGTGCGGGATACCTCACAATGCAACCTCGCAGAAAGAGTTATGATCTCATAAGCACAGTAATCATACGGGAGAAACAAGCATAAGCTCTGCCGCAGGTGCCCTCGCCGCTGATGCCCTTAAAAAAGCACGACTGAACTACAAAGGAACCACCAAAATAGTATCGGCAATTCTTCCGGCCCCGATATTAAACCCTAAACCCTAAAC